GGGTTATCGATGAATAACTGAATGAGATCAATAACCTAGTGCCAATAAAGAGGGGATCAAATGCCAATATTGGCAGGGAAGCAAACAATAAATGGCACTCGGCAAGGAATGAATGATAAGCTGCCAAGTGACAAATGGCCAGAGGGAAAGCGGAGGTCAGCGCGCGGCGCCGATACAAGTCCGCAAATAAGCGGGGTCGGTGCGGTGCCGACACAAGTCCGCAAATAGAGGTTGATCTGCCAGCACTGTCACACAAGGACAGCATGAAGGCCAACAGAGGTACAGAGGTGGGCAGAGGGTGCGGAGTGGGCAGAGGGTGCGGAATGCACGGAAGCGGGGCATGGCTGTGACCACATAGCGGGAAGCAATGAGTGTGGTTCAGATGGAGACAAGGCAGGCGTGACTGAATGCTGGGAGCACCAAGGGCTCAGGAACTGGAGGTAAGGTTGGAATACCGGCAGGGTCTAGGTTCTGATTCTTGGCCAAGTCTCACGCAGTAAGGCAGGGGGCCAGACATGGGGTTGGGGGCTGGTTAGGATGGGTTTCGGGTCGGCGGATTCGCCTATCAGCATTGGTTCGCTGCTGACGGAGCCCCGGGATTTGTCGGTCATGACAGTAGACCACTAAATAGAATTGTCGGCACAAATATATGTAAATACATGTTTTGAGGTTGATCTCCAACACACCCTCTCAAACGAAAGAACATGTAATCATTTAACATGAATCCATGATATAATGAAACCGGTGTGAAGAAATTGACTGAAAAATAATGGAATGAAATTGAATGGGAATGGAGTGGTGAAGGGAATGTGGAAGGGTGAAATCATCCAATGGATGCGTGATCAAGGGTGCTAGTCCAATAATCAATGGTGGTTGGTTGTCTTCCAAATCTGAGTCGATGCCATGCCAGGCAGTCGGTGGAGTGAGCCTTCTCAGCAATCCCGGGTGTCCAACTTGTCCAAAGTGTGCATGAGAATTAACACGATATTTGAAAGGGGGGGACCACCCTCTGAATCCACAGTGTTCCATAGTAAGGCAGTAAGGGAGTGGCCCCAATGGTCTGCTGGTGCCAGGTGCAAGGTGGGATTGGGTTGCTGCCTTTGAGCGCGCGCGCGATTGGACCGTGGGAAAATGGAAAAATGGTGACGTGGCAAGGAGGGAATGGGGAAATTAGGAGTTGCATGCCTGTCTAAGGGCTTACAGCGAGGAGAAAGGGGGGTGGTGCCTATTACTGCCTTCCAGGACTTCGAAAGGGAGGGGGTTTGCCACATACAGACTTAATGAGTGAATGCGTGGACTTAGTGGGTGGTTGCCTACATGGACTTATTGCCTACACGGACTTATTGCCTAGACGGATTCTGCAAGTGATTGCCAACATGGACTTAGGAGGGGGTGGGTATAGTGTGTACTAGAAACCCGAGGAAGGCCGATGGACCTCTTAGCCTGTCCATACACTACTCGCCCGTTATGCCAGGGGGGGGTACCCCTTCCCTGATGGTTTGGGAGATCACTTGATCCCTTTCTCCAACAAGAATTTCCTTCATCGTTTTGAGAATCGCTCTGAATGTATTTATTGGTGCAGTTTCACGCGCCATAGGTACAGTAAAATTAACAAATCTCTTGTATGAGTCTGAGTTTAACGCGCCATAGCCCTTTACATTTTAAAACTGGGCTCATAACCTTTTAAAATGTAAAGGGCTATGGCGCGTTAGACTCAGACTCGTACAAGAGATCTGTTAATTGCACTGGGCGCGTTAAACTGCACCAATAAAGACATTCAGAATGATTCTTTAAATGATGAAGGAAATTCTCACTTGTACAAGAGACCTGAGGGAGAGGGGGTGAATCTTTATACGTGAGTTTGCCAGCGGCGACAACAGAGAGAATGAGGGTTGAACCCCCAAATAATTGCATTGCGACGATACTATGTAGAATAACTGCAGTGCTGTCAATAATCACGTTATTGACAGTCGGATGACGGAACTACTCTCCAAGACGCCCTTTCAGCGTCGCCGTCAATGATTCCCATTCCTTCCCTGAAGGACACCTGATAACCCTTCTCGACAATCAATCCTTGCCAAGAACCCTGTGTTCCATGCTCGAACCAAGCACATTGATGTCCGCCACCATTGGATTCGGTGAAGAACATTGGAACTTCAATACATCCCGCTTGGCGATCAAGTGTCCGACATCTTCATAAGGTTGTTCCCTTGGTTAAGTTCGAAAAGTCTCGAGAGGAGTTGGGTTTGCGTCGAGTCACCCATCACTGAGTTGGTGTGTTGAGAGACGGCAACGGTCGACTCGCCGCCACCGTGCTATGATACCCGACCTTCCGTTGTGACGGCGAGACGTCCTATGAGTCTTGTTCGAGTCTGCACTATTGTCCTATCTTATTCAGCATATTTCCGATCGTTCGTTGCTTTATTCATACGCTTTTCTCCTGTTGCACTCGAACAAACGACGCTTAAAAGCACACTTCCGACGCCCTCATTTCTCTTTGCGCTGTTCGCTTGAGGCTGAGGTTCGTCTCTCACTTTTATGATGGTCACTCTTTCACTTACCTCCTCGCTTCTACATAGTCTCGTTTAGTACTACCTGTCTAGTTCGCATGATGATGCTCCGTGTGATCGACAGTGTTGAACTCTGATCCCCAGCCTTAGCTCAATTACTCCAGAATCTCCTGCGGCCTTGGCCATCACGTTGAGGTCATTCCTTCTATTGAAGCATTCACTTCTCTCTGGCGTGTCCCTCATCCGGTGCCCTACGGGCGAGGACGGGGATCACAAATCGCCCTTTATCATGATGTATGCGCCGCAAATAATACTAGTCTCAATGATAAACCTCGTTGTCCATATAGGTTATGAACCAGATTAGATCCTCTTTTACTGATGGTTCCGGCCCCTTGGCTCAACGGATAGTGACTCGAAGCCTTCTCACAACTTACTACCAAGCTCATCCTTTCCTCTCTTGTCCGAGACCTCAGGGTTCTTATCACCGACTCAGCTTGGCGCCCTAACGGAGGGTATTTTGCATGAAGCTTGGTTTCCGACTGCCAACGCCACACCTTATAGGAGACATCGAAACGACTTTCATTCCCAATTACAATCAGGCACGCATGTCAATTATCCCCTGCCATATAATAGCAGCTTGAATAGCTAGCACGGGCGCCCTGAATAGCCGTACAGTTGATTGGACTAGGTGGCAATTGTAAGACATATGGATGCAAAGTAGATACGGAACAAAATGCCTGAAGGTAGATGTTGTTACACGAAAATTGTAGCAAGGACGGGAACAATATGCTTCAAAGTTGGGCATGCAGCCTCGAAACGCAAAATGCCTAGTGGTCATCACACCCAAAGGATTTAAGCCATTTGAAGAGAGATGTCGTCCCAGCTTGTTCCTTCTTCTCTTCATCAATATAGTGGACGTAAAGTGTACCATGTTTCGAGGATAATTCGAGATGATCCCCGTTCCAATCGGATGGAGAATTGAATGCAGACATAGAAGCTGTAAACCCCCCAGCTCGATGAATACGATGGTCGCGTCGAAAGAACAGAAAAGGACGAACTCACGTTGATTCGGAGAAGTAGTTCTCCAATCACCAATGAAACTATTTCCCTTTCCCTTTTCATTGTAGAACGACGTGACTTTAGGAAGGAGGGAAGGGGAGAAGATTATTTTCCCCTTGTGTTCAACCAATCCGTGAAAATCTCTGGGGATATACACTCGAACTTTTCCATGTTTTGAGTACGCATTTAGATGGAATGGCTGCGACGAGGGCCGTAGCTTAAATAAGGAAATTTTATTGATAAGAGGCTGACCATACCCAAGAGGACGAATAATGCAACGTACCAGGTGAACTTGAACCAGACTGTGACGCGATCCAACTTGGAGCGCTGCTCGCTGGCTGATATCACCCTCGGATGATGGGTCAAGTTTCACATTCACATCGACAGTGCCATGGCGAGAAAACACATCCAAGTTCTTTCTTTTCTTGCTTTTCCCTTTCTTAGAACGAGCAAGGAGGGCGGGAGGAGGCTGGAGAGAGGTATCGATAGTCCAACTGTCTTTGATTCCACTGTGCTTCTGATGGATGGTGAGGAAGTTCGTGGGTGGTGTCACGAAAGATGAGGATAGGGTAGCAATGATAGTTTCTGCGTCGGACGACGAACTAGCCAGAGTCTGACTCTGCGATCCCTCTGAGAAATATACCTTTTGTGGGACTGTGGCGGTGGGGGCCGTAGACTCAAGGCCGTATGGGGGAGGAGACAGCTACAGCGTTCAATAGGTCAATAGCTAGACTCAGCGCGCGAGACGGTACAATGACCAACGTTTTGGTGCGCATCAACTTCGGTGGACGAAGCCTCGTCTTTCTCGTTCAAGAGGAACATTATTGAGGGTATGGAGTATCTGGGTGCGTGTGTGACAAAAGTATTTATGGAGTTAGCCTTTGGTGCGGCGCAGCAACTAGGAGGCAGTTCATGGTCCATTCAGTCCCAATTCGGCTTAGTTCAACTTCGAGCCGTTCAGCTGGCTCATTGCTCATTCAAGGGCATTCTTAAGTAACAGCTGCGCTCAATTGCGTAGACGCGCACCAGCCGCATTAATTGAGAACTCGGCCTCAGGGTTGAATTGCTGTGCTCACCCGATAAGCACAGCCACAGCCACTACCAGTAAGTAGCACTCGAAGTGCCGCCCATTCTAGGCAGGTGACCAGCCTCTCCTTTAGCGGGAAGAGACGCCGATCCTCAAAGGGGGAACAGTCATCTTGTTTGCCTTGGTTTCACCTTCCGCGCTGTGCGGATGTCGCCGTCGTGATAGCAATTTCCCTCTCGGCGTTGTTCATGTAGTTCAATTCCTTGAGAACTTGCCGATTCGAGCATTCGCCCATCATGGATGACTGATGAGGATGATCCAATCGTGAGAGAGCGCAGGAAGCCGTAAACCGGATCTTCTTCCCTGTCTCCTATCGACTGCAAACCCATCTTACAAAGACGGGCATGGCTGGGCTGACTTTGGCGTCGACGGTGAAACTTTCTTCAGGTCAGCAGTGCCAGTGAGCGAAATGAGAAGCTTCATCGAGGTGGTTGTGTGTAGGCTTCAAGCTTCCTTTGCTTGGGTTTGGAGTTTTTCAGAATGGAGGGGCCACATGTGTCAGCTCGACTCTGGAGGCGTTGAAAGCTGGGTACCGGTGAGACTGCTGGTTTATCACTCATAGATCCTGTAATCATACGCTGCGTCATAGACATATTGACTCAGCCGTATATTACGCGAATGAACGTGAGGTTGGCGAAGCCATTCGACTCTCCGGTATCAATCGGGAGGAGATTTTCGTCAGTACGTATAGGGGGTCAACGTAAGGTCACCGATGAAACTTGTTTGACGGACGATCTAGCTACGAAGATCCCAATCAATCAACAAGGCTATGAAAGCGCTTTGAAGCTCGTAGACCGATCCTTGGAGAATTTTGGCTTCAGTATGTTCTCAACACAGTACTCCGTGGCCTCATCGGCTGCTGACTTTCGGTTTTCGACTCCAAAGCCTACATCGATCTATATCTAATCCATGCTCCTCTACCTGGGAGTGAAAAGCGCCTTGCTACGTACAAGGCCTTACTTGACGCCCAGAAAGCCGGAAAAATACGTTCTGTGGGTGTCTCGAACTAGTGAGTCCATTGAAAGTGTTGAGATTGGTTACCGATGTGCTTCTCCTATTTCTAAAGTGGTGTACACCATCTTGAAGAGATCCAGAAGGAAGGTCTGCCGGCCCCCACGGTGAATCAGATTGAGGTGTGCCTCATGACATTGATATCTTACATGTGAACCGCCTCGATAACTGATATTTTTTCGCGTATAGGTCCACCCCTTTTGCCAGCAGAAGCCCATCGTCGAGTACTGCAATGAACGCGGAATAGTTGTCGAAGCTTACAGTCCTCTCGTACGCGGCAGAGCCTCCGATCCTACTGTACTCCGTATCGCCAGCGAAGTCGATCGAAGCCCTTTCCAAGTATACCTTCGCTGGTCCCTGCAACGAGGGTGGGTATCCATTTGTAGCCTCTGCTCAACAGCAATATTGTGTGGGTGATACGATAACGTGCTGAAAATTTCTCCAACTACCTTAGATTCGTCCCGTTACCCAAGTCTGCGACGCCATCACGCATCAAGTCCAACGCAGAGGTATACGATTTCGAACTCAGCGAGGCTCAAGTGTCCGCGTTGGACGCTCTCGATCAAGGATCCAAAGGAGCGTTATTGTGGAATCCCGTTGATGCTCCTTGATCGGCATGATGTTCCTGCGAGTCACGGTTCTTGCCATCTGTATAGGGCTCGTTTCTAAGTTCGGAGGTTTGCGTTGATTCTGTGAGGCTCCAGATCTTGACCGGCTTCGCTGCCTCGTGTTCCATGCGTAATAGAATGATCAATGATCAATGGCAGATTTTCAGTTTTAAGTTGCCAAACTCGCTAATTGATGCAGCTTCGCAAACCGACCTCCGAAATCGGCCCTGATGTAGATGCCATTTTCGATCGCCTTGGAGGTAATAAAGATATGGAGTTGCCCCACCATCATTATTTAGGCTCCAAGCTCCAGAGCCAAAGTTCAACCGTGGGTCAGATCGATCGCACAAGATCGCCCACAGGCTGAACCCTCAACGTCATTTTCACACATGAGTGTTTCAAAACGAAAAAGAACATTCTGGATTCGAATTCGTGGGGAACAGAAACAGAGCAAAAGTAACGCTAACATTCGGGAATATTAATACTAGTCTAAAGGGGGAATTGGTGACAGTCTGGTTCTCATAACATCATCGATCGGGGTGAGTCGGAGGGAAATGCTGTAGCAGAGATGAGAAATACCGAGATCCGAAAGTTCAGTGGCATAATGTTCTCGTCAAAATAATGGCTGGGTATGCCCTAAAAGGACACGAGCAACGAGAGATGATGAGAACGGGTGGTTGATCCTGATGGCGATGAGATCCGAACACCCACCAAAATAACCAAATACCTCAGCCAATTAAACAATACTGTTTAGCTAAGAGACTGGGGCCTCTTCACCGAACATTACGGGACCAATTTTCGATTCGCCTCTGCGAAGATATGTAGCGCTCGACATCCTTGGAGTTCCCAACGATTAGCTTTCCGTTATACATGACGCCATTGGAAGGAACTGTTTTGGATCGTTGGGGGGTCGAACGAACAGGAGCGGAGGTTGGCTGGGTCGACCGGCGCACGGGGGCAGGTGCGGCACCGCGGGAGATATTGTAACTATAACCCTTGGTAGGAGATGTGGGAGTATAAATTCGTGGAGAGCCGTGACCTGTTTGGACTCTGATCTGGGGTTGATAGGTCCTTGGTGGGCTTTGGCTTTGATGGCGCTCGTGTGTACGGTAGTCGTATGAGGTGCGAGGGACGGACTTGGATCGGGAAGAACTGCTACGAGGATCTGAATTGGAACGCCGGGGTGGAGGCGGTAGAGTGCCGGGTTCGGGTTTGAGGATGCTGATACTGTTCTTTACTTTTGTCCATAGCGAGGCAGCTCGTTGGTGGCCTGGACGGGCAGGTTGCTGAAAAAAGATGACGTTGAGGATATATATTCCAAGAAAATGGTAAGAATTCAACTCACAGGATCACTCCAATCGATGTCCAACATGTCTTCAAGAAGGAGAAGGGGGAAAGGAGTAAAAGAGAGTGAAGAGGACGAGAAAGAAGAAAAGGTGAACGTGGGCGTTAGAGGGAATGGTACTCGCAAGTGATAAAGGGTTATTATACCTTTCGAGGGTTTTTATCCGTTTTGGGCTTTATGATTTTATAATTGAGGCCGAATGGTAAAAAGCCTCAAGGCGGGCGCCTTCCCGTTCGCGTTAATACCGTGTTTGAACAGCCTTATTGAAGAACGAGGAGAACGCGTGTTCGGGAGATTGATCTTGTAGTAAAATGCTGTGGAGTTCAGTCAGAGGTTGCCGAAGATCTGTTACGACCACGAGTTCGTTGGTAAGCAACAAGACTGGAGCGGGCCAGAACATGCAGCAGCCAGCTTCAAGCGACAAGGCACAGGCTGGGACAAGTGGTGTCTAGTGGTGTTTGGAATATATCGCCTTGGGAACCACCAAAAAAAAAAACGTGTTTCGGGCGGGGCCACAACATACTAATCCAGTCCTTTGATGCTCGGCTGAGCATAGGAAAGCGGGCAAGCTGACGAGAGGGGTTTGTGGAGTATGCGCGCGGTTCATGAGGGTTTACGGTAGCGGCGATCGCAAAGATCCTAAATATTGTGCGTTGATTGTTCTTCGGCGAAGATCCATCGGCTCCGGATGCAAGTCGCCTACAAATTACAATGCAAACAGGCTTGCTTGATGTCGACAAACGCTTGACAAGCGACGATCGGTTACGGCCCAGTTAGGCGCGCTATGGCGCTCTCGTGTGCTACGTAGTCCTTCTACATTTTTCTGGGCCATGATAGAAGGTACTCCTTCGCTGGCGTCCTTCACATTCAGCATCCCCCCGGTTAGATTGCCGGTTCACCGCAGACTCGTACCCAGTCGGAGGAGCTCCGTGGACGCGCAAAATAATAGCTTTTTTACGCAATGTAAATAAACGTTCTCACACTGGTACTCGACTGCTTCCGATGCTAGTCACGTTCCGTACCCAATACAAAAGATCACATGGTACGGAGTTAAACAAATATCCGATCACCTACTCCGAAACTTAGCCCGCGACACTTCGCTCCTCCGACTGGGGCAAAATGTAGGTGGCGATGCATCGGAAACACCCGACTCTCACGCTAAGCCTGAATGAGTTGTACATAGAGGTTGCGCAATGTAATTGTTAGTGTTGACACATGCGGTCATTGTACCCAACCCAACCCATAGAGACTTGGGAGCACCTTGAGGGTTGTGAAATCGACAACCCGGGCATGTGCGGAAATTGACTCTTCATATAATACTTCTGTAGCAATTTGCAGTTGGTGCTTTGTAGTGAAGCGGTACAAGCGTGAGCTGGGGCTATGTAGCCTTTTTGGCTGCGGGTGTTCGATTCCCACTCAGTAAACCTTTTTTTTTGGTCTCAGGAATAATTGTAACATCCCATTTACACTAAGGAGTAAAGAAGGAAAAAAAAAAGGTTTACTGAGTGGGAATCGAACACCCGCAGCCAAAAAGGCTACATAGCCCCAGCTCACGCTTGTACCGCTTCACTACAAAGCACCAACTGCAAATTGCTACAGAAGTATTATATGAAGAGTCAATTTCCGCACATGCCCGGGTTGTCGATTTCACAACCCTCAAGGTGCTCCCAAGTCTCTATGGGTTGGGTTGGGTACAATGACCGCATGTGTCAACACTAACAATTACATTGCGCAACCTCTATGTACAACTCATTCAGGCTTAGCGTGAGAGTCGGGTGTTTCCGATGCATCGCCACCTACATTTTGCCCCAGTCGGAGGAGCGAAGTGTCGCGGGCTAAGTTTCGGAGTAGGTGATCGGATATTTGTTTAACTCCGTACCATGTGATCTTTTGTATTGGGTACGGAACGTGACTAGCATCGGAAGCAGTCGAGTACCAGTGTGAGAACGTTTATTTACATTGCGTAAAAAAGCTATTATTTTGCGCGTCCACGGAGCTCCTCCGACTGGGTACGAGTCTGGGTTCACCGGCATTATTTGCAACATTCCGGAACTGTCGCCGGAACCACCTGATCAATAGAAAAGCGTCGGAGTTGGGCCTGATTCCACTGCCCGCGATGCTTCCAGCACATTCCATTCCCTCGCAGATCTCGCCACACAATCTCAATCTGGCATCACTGATGCGAGCACGTTCCGCATCACACGACGCCGAATCAGTTCCGGAACGTCATGTGATTTCAATGAATTCATTGACAAACGCACACGTCCCCGCGCTGTGTTTGCGTTTTGCGATCAAGTACCCCAACAAAACCTTTTGATGCATGGGCGGCCTCCTGTAACTTACGGGCGTCTTGGAAGGAAGCGCGCCAATGAGGCGTCAACTCGACGCCAATCACACGCGCCATCAAGCGAGGCGGACAATCATAATCATGCCGCTGGCATGTCACCGCTGACGCCAAAAAAGGTGGTTCCTGAGACGAGGGTCTATGTCGAGATCCTCACCCCAAGTCCTCCGAGCGCAAAGAAGCAGGTGTCTAACACAAGTCCCTCGTCCCCCTATGATGTTCCGAGGCACGCATACAAGCCACTACGCCCAGCCCACGAAGACAGCAGCAGTGATGACCCTCTTAGACTCATGCCTTCCCCAAAGAAGAGGAGGCGAGCTGATTCTCGTTCTGGACCTGAAACATCTCCATTGCACAGCGTGACGCACAAGACTAAGCGTCCTAAATCAATTCCCGAGCGCGATCCCTCCTGTGAGTCAATTAGCTGGTCATGTATTCATGGCTATCGAATAAACTAAATTACATCCAAGCTATTTCCCCTTTCCGCAGAAGCCCTTCACCATTTGGGCCGTCGAATACAACGTTCACTGCGATGCCGACATCTCCTAGCGCCCTAGAACCCCTATCGAACCCGCCACCTGCCATTAAAGGGTCTAAACAAGAGGATACATACGATAGGCGAACACCGGAGCCTAAATCTAAATCTATTCCCTCTGCATCATCATCAAATGCAGTTGCCTTACCTGGCTCCCCATCCAGAGTTAAAGATCTTTCACGATTATTCGAAAGTATCGATATCCCTGTTCATGGAATCTCACACTCGCCAGCCCGAAGTGGGGTGTCGGGCCCTGCACCCGGAACCCCGGCCAAGCACAGGATGCTGCGTCGCGCAGTGACACTATCTGAAGCCGTGCCATCCCCAGTCACTTCCATGAATTCGCCCGGGCGTCCGAGCACACATCCTTCCCTTAATTCAAGCCCTTCACGCCCGCTTGGTCTTCCCGGGACCGTCTCCTTACCGAATATTTCACTCCGCATAGATGAGAATCCCACTCTCCCGTCCATCCGGCCTTCTGTACCACCCTCGAACGACACTGGGTCTGCCTCTGCTGAGGCTCTTCCGCCACCAACTCGACCTAGCGTCCGAACCTACTCAGCCTCCCGATCATTTCTTGCTCCTATCCGTCTCTCATCTAATACAAACGATGAAGAAAATCAACCTCAATCCCAGCCACAACCCTTCACGCTAGATCCCGAATCCCAAGAGCTTTTCCACGAGTCGTATGCTGAGATGCGGAAACGGCTGCGTGTAGATGCTTCTTCGGATGATGGGATCGACGAGGGTTTGATGGGTCCTCTGGACCTGAAAAGTATAAGCGAGTTGAGAGACAAAGGCGAGAACAGGCGGTTCTTAGATGAAATGGGATACTTGCTGGAGGGGATGAATCCAGAAATGACCGTTTCCGTCAAGCGACTAAGGTAAGAGATTGCTGTGAATCTGATCCTGGCTACTAACACTATCCTTCACCAGTGTTATCAAGCTTCTAGATAATATGTGCTCCCTAGAATTTGTTCGGAGGGCTGCCTCAGCTGACGCCATCGGATCAGCATGGACTATATTGCGAAAATCGAACGATGCAGGGGACAAGGTACGAGCATCCTAAGATTACCTTTTCCACTCAGTAATGACTCTTTTCTAGATATTAGATGTATGTCTCGTCATTTTCGCTGCGTTAGTGGCCAGAGAAGCAAGACCTACGGACCTCCTTGCTTCAGAATCGGACGTTGGCGAACATTTGGGGATGGTCGTGCAGTGGCCCCACGACGTCGATCCATTTGGTTTCTTTGTGGGGAATGGACGATCTGAGGATGCCAGACTGCTGAAGATCGGGAAGCCCGAACGGGTGCTGGTCAGTCGTCTGTCAGACCCCTCCTTCGAGAACTTTAGTGCTTAAGCGCTTCTTCATCCTAAAGATCCAGCAATTACGCTCCTTCGTTAGGAAAGGGAAACTCCTCTCGGAGGATAGTTATGTGAGTGCTGTTGCCACTGAGTTTGGTTGGCCCGATGCTGAGGCATTTGTTTCTCCCCCCCCCCAGATCACGATCCGACAACTAGCGTCCCAGGCCCTGTTCAAAATGCGATCCCATCATGTGGCCGTCTTCCCATATATAATAGCTTCGCTGAAACTCGAGCTACCTCTGTTGACTTCGCGGGTCGACGGTTATACGAAGGGTCTCGAACTTCTCCCATCCACTTCGTTTAACACTCCTAGCCTAGAGCACGTGGACAATTGCCTGTGCGTTTTGGAAAGCAAGCTCCTGGAATTTCAGAGTGTTTCGGAAACGGAAATTATTCAATCCGACTTGTTATCGGTGCAAAAGGAATTTGTCGAAGGTCTCCCAGCGACGTTGCTAGTGTGCCAGATTCTCAGTCTGGAAGAGAGGGAAGATTTTTTTGATGGTGTGTAATGATCGACTCCTTAGTTTGTGCCAAGGACTAACGTCTGAGTGATAGGTACACACCTGATGATCAGCTGCTTAAGAACCTTGGTGAATTTTATGGAATTGGGATTTAACTGGCGGACACCGATCTTGTCGAACAATCTTACTGTTCCTGCATGTTTGCGCATCATTTCGTCTTATGCGGCGAAATCGACGGCTGTTGGACAAGATGATGATGCAGCGAACAAGCTTGACATTCTTTGCATGGCGCTGGCGCTGATCACTAGTCTAGTACAAGGAGGGGGTAATGGTCCAGAGCTCATTTCTTCTTCATGTGAGTAGGTCGCGATTCATTATCCGTTATTTTCACTGAAGAAGTTGTATCATCAAAGTGGTCGACCCTGAATGTGCCCTGGCTCGGTCATGTCTACGAGGTTGTCGGTGTCGCGCCAGGATCAGTGGGTTGCAATGCGTCGTTAACCTGTATGTCGACCAGACAAAGGAAAGCGCCGAACTGGTGAGTGGGTCCTTTCGTAATCCCCGAAGCAATTCAGCTCAGTCGATATGGCACATTCCAGGGCAGTGCCGAAGCCAACTTCTTGAAAGGTCACTTGGCTGTCCTACTTGCCCTTCTTTGCTCAAATGACGGCACGGGCTCATTCGAGAAGATCATCGATCTCCTCCCTGGTGGATCGCGACCCTCGAAGCTTCAATCTTGGATCGATGCTGTCACTGAATTTACGTTCCTCTATGCGGACCTCACCACACGATTTGCGAAAGCTATTCAAGCTTCTCACTTGGAGCATACGCCGGAAGAGGGAGTTGACACCGAGGACGATGAACAGCCATCATCCTCATCCAAGCTGGACCAGGCGACCTATTCTACTAATAGTCTGTTGCGAATGCAGCGGGAGTCGCAAGGTCAGATGAAAGGTGTTGAGCTTGCGCGTAGTGTCCTTCATACATTACAGCAGTTTCAGATGGCGACTTGATAAATCTTTGATGAATCTTCGAGTGTATTATTGTTTGTACCAGCCGTTTTTCTGCTTTTCTGTCACATGCATCAAAATCTGGATTCAAACGTGGAGTTGCACCGTAATAGAGGGCCAACGGCCTTACGTTTTCCTTATAGACTTTCTCAGGATCCAAGAGCAGTTAGAAATTCTGGCCACATCGTACCCTCACGCACAAGGCAACCTGGTACCACCAAGTCATCATCTTTAGTTATTTCCTGTGAAGAAGAACGCATCTAGTAAACGCCTGACCTTGTTTTGTGATTACCACAAGTACCAGGCTACTTAATTTTGTTATGATCAAACTGAATGGCTGAGCTTAATTAAGCTCCCATGAGGTGGCCATTTGCCACTGATTGCACTTTCCCACGAATCTGATTTCCTTTGTAAACAGATCGTCTGAGCAGCCTGAAGCTCTGCAGGTCAAATATCCAGAATAAAACAAACAAACAAACAAGCTTCGCAAGCCCCTTGCACACCGCAGTATCATACGCCTAACCCTTCTACTAAAGTTCAAGGTTCGTTTCAGCTGGATCTCTCACACGCTTTCTATGGTCCTTCAATCCCACTACATTCTTATTTGCTGCTTCACACAATCCATTCGGTCGTTACGCCCTCAGCGATTTCCCTAATGCTTCCTTCTGAACTCGCCTGGAACATCCTTCAATTCTCGCGTGGGTCATATGCATGTTGTGAGGGCATTAGCTGCTCATGGCTTCACACTTGTATTCCGGAGTTATGAAGCTGCTGTTCTCGGCTGGGGCGCCATTATTGGAATCTGTAAGCTTCCTTTGACAGGGCTCACACAGAAAGGCAAGCATTGAGCCGCTATCGTCTCGCACTGTATAGAATGGACGGTGACTGTAAGACCGAGTAGGACGGGCGGGTGTAGAACCGGCCCAACATCCGAAGTGTGGGTCTGGCTCAGCAGATACAAGGGTGGTGGGCGAAAGGGAGGGCAAGCCAACGAGAGAAATATGATCAATGAGAGTGTGCAACAGTTGGTTCGTCTTGAACGATCCAATTCTGATGCTCCCATCCATTGAACCCCAGCAAACTTGTTGGGAATGCTACGATCTTTCATTCCGAACACTTGTGTATTCCACCCTCCTCCGTTTTTCCCTGCTGCCCATGCTTGACCCGTCCCCTACCCTCCGTTTCGTCCCACTGCCCGAGCTCGACACGTCCCCTGCCCATTTGCGTATCGCATCCACTGTCCACGTTCCTCGACCGTCCGCACCCTCCGTATGCCTCGCCAGCGATTCCTTCTTCAAGCTCTTATGACGCAACACTCTCGCCAGCGGTTCCTTCTCCTCGGAAGGTTGCCGTAGAGGGTTAAAATCCAAGTCCTTCATCGCACCGCCAGGGACCCCTTGGATCCACGTCCTGTATAGGTCATACATATCAGCGAGTTTCTTGTTCTTTAGTAGCAATGCCGCAAGCTCCTGGGATTTCAGGTGCCAAAGTACTTTCCCACTCCGGTAGATCACAATCGTACATGACTTGTAAACACAGGAAGATTGTCGAAAGGAGTGGTGTGGACAGTGAAATCTGATGGTGCCGCACGTTCGCGTATTGCGTCCTGGATCAAAAGTGCTATATGATCCATTGCATTGTCAATCGGAAGCAGCTCGTATTTGAACACGTCGGTCTTCTATATCCAAACTTAGATGTTACAACCTGATATACAACTGACCGCTTATATTGAATGATGGAAATTTCCCTCTTTTTGCGCTTCCCAATGTTTTTCCCTTCTTATCCACTGCATTTTTATATGCGTCAAGTATCACTTGCTCTGGCACCAGAACGAAGTAACCCACAGTGGGAAGTAACCCCGGCAGATGGTGTAGGGTTGCCCCGGTACCAGCCCTGCTAGGTAGCCCCATTACCATTTGACGGGGCCAACCATCAGATTTCGAGTGCCGGGACCTCCTATCAGATATGCGCAGTCTGACGGGGCCATCCTGACGGGGTACCCCGGAAATACTGACAGGGTTCCCTGGAAGTTATTGATAGGTAACCCCGCCTGTTTTAATAGTAAATCATAATATATTCATTTGGTATATAGTAATACACGCATACACTGGCGCTTGTCGTTGTGAGTGTCGGAGAAAATAATACCCCAAGGCTATACTGAGGGTGCAGAGAAAACCTCGCGCTAAACCTCGCGCTTGAACACACCTTTGCAGGGACAACCCCTCGGGGTCTGTGGGGCCGGCGTAGGTCCCAAGAGCAAGTCGGTTTCGAAGATAGGATGACAATAATCAGTGGGGTAAATATGGCAGGTAGATCGCAAAGCAAATGATGAGGTGAATGGTGGGGTGAACGGTGGGGTGAACGGTGGGGAACACATAGTTTGCTCATCCGTGAAACCCGACCCGCGGGGTTCCAGCACTCTTTGTACCTCACCAATGGGAGTTCGCCTTTTAGCCGCGGAGGAAGCTATTGTCTTCCAATTCCGGTCACTTTTGGGAAGTTTGATTGTTTCCTGGAGTAGAAAGTTAGCAAGGAAATGGGAAGGGGAGGAAAGTTAAGAGCGTAGTAGTAGGCACACTTTGTGGTTAGGCACCAGTGCAGGCTCTGCAACAGCGCATTGGGCAATGCCATGATAACACATCTGGTCTGCGTCCTTCCATGTCGGTTGGCCCAAAATCTTGGCATCAATGAGTGAAGAACACGTCAAAACGCGTGGGAACGCGTCCAATTGTACAAGCCTGAATATTGGAATGGAAGCACTGGCATGCGTGCACGGTGCAACAGAGCATGGGCCCACAGTGTCGGACTCAAGAATTGAAGGGACGAAATAGCAGACACAGATTTGGCTCCCACCAAAGGGTGCAATGCAGGCTTGATTGCCAAGATCGGATGAGCTGATTGCGCAAGATCGCTCAACCTGGATTGGCAATAGTAAGCATTGAAGCACGTATTAGGATGCAGAAAACAGAGGGCCAGCCAAGAAAAACATGGCTGCGCATATTACGGATATCCAGCGTCGATTGGATGAGTGTGGGGGGAACACAGAGATAAGAGAGATGACAGGTGAGATGAAGTTCCAAAGTAAATGGCAACTCCCGAACCGACGAAAGGAACCCAAAACCAACATTAGCACCCCGCGCTTCCACTCTTCCCAATGGTCTCCTCGCTCCCAACAATCACATGCCTACGGTAGCCCTGGTACTCCACTCGACTGAGCAGCTGCCGCATTTCGAAGAAAATGATAAGTATTTTAATGTGATGGTAAAACCCAGTACAATCTGACGGGGAACTTCCCACACCTGGACGGACTTGAAAAGGGAGGACGTGGAACTCAGCGAGGATGAGAATGAGGGATTGGAATCCTCTAAGTTAATGTGCGAAATTCTCTTTTGGTATCAATATGTACGTCAGAATCCAGATGCTAGGTAGCCCTGGTACTACACACGACTGAGCATTTCCAAAAAGCTGATAGGGACTCCCGGCATTTTCGATTAGGTGATGGTACAACCCAGTACAATCTGATGGGGGGACTTCCCACAGTGAACCCCTGTCCAACATCCCACGCACGGCAGCTCCCACTGTCATAGTGGTGTCAACCAAACTTAAACCAACAATAACCTAGAGCAACCTACATGGAAATATGTTGTAACGAGTATTTAGACGCAAAGTCTTATATTGCATGTCCCAATGCCATTCCAGTGATTTTATCTGCCAAGTAATATACACTTTATACACCATCAAATAACCACCTACCAGTGTTAGATTTTTCGACTGTGCCAGGGGCACACAATGAGTAAATTCAACAATCCGGTCTCTTGTGCAGTTTTCAATCATGCACCGTCCTTTGTTAGGATCTACATCTTCAACACGATTCTTTGTGTGTCTTGAAAGCCCTGAAGTGTGTGATTGTAATTGAGTGGGTGTTGTATCGATTGTGCCATGGAACACCGAGATCTCCCCATATTCGCTACCGGACTGGTCATCTTCTGTAAGTACGGTCTTTGTGGATGCCTCTTCAACGTCGCCCGTGTAAGTTACTCATTCCGACGGTAGGTCACGTTGTGTACGTATTACATAAGTCACCGTCCGTATGGGGTTACAGTAGGCAGGATTCCAGCCTCTACTAGGGTTACAGCTTAACCATTCCCCTATTCATCTTGACATCGCACCGATATCCCTGAACCGATACCTCTCATTATCTCTGCCGCCGCTATGGTGCCGGCAATAAGGATGTCGGACTGTCATTGCAACATCATGACCTGTGATAAGGGTTTAACTAGGAGTCTTCCCTGGCCAGCATCCATTGTGGGGGCATGCCCTTTACCATCTCTGCCATAATTGGCGAGCCCGTGAAGACCATGGCGGATTATTCTAGTGGGATGGACCTCACCCGCCACTGAGAGGATCAAGTGCAAAGATCTATCAGGAAAAATACCGAGTTCGATTAATCCCAATAGTAACTCCGTCCTATGGACTTCACCTATGTTACGTACGTTCCCGCTATGTTTTGAGACTTTCATTCAAGTCGGGCCCCTTCCCTTGGACAACACGATGCCCCTGTAATTGTGTCACGAGTGCCTTTGGCCCATCTGGCCTGTTCTTGGCCGTCGAGTTTGGCTAGAGGCTTCCATTTAGGTCCTCCCTTCCTCGTCTTTCCATGTGGTTGCGTCTAGAAAGTCTAATGTTGGAGAGCGTGGAAGACTAAGATGACAAAGCGGATCGCCATTTGGTACCACCTCGTTCAAAACGACGGTTTTTTTTTTACCCACGCGTAGTTCGAACCGATAGAGCAGACAGGGTGAGATAGAGTAAAATGAACAGCGTGTGGAGTTGAAAAACAGGAGGTTTTTATACTCTCCTTGTACTTGTTCGAAGCACTCTGACGCACGTTGCCATAAGCCGAGGGATTCACGACTCCTGTATACTGGTCAGACTAATCATAATAAAATAGAATATGCGCAGTGACGAAACGACACTCGGGAAGAGGAAAGTGTATGGGGGGGGATCTTTGAATGCTCCGAATTTTACACATGTAGCAAGCAAATAAGGCCCAAATTTCACTGTATACGACTCATAGACTAAGTCATTTTCCAGCCGGACTCGAACAGTCAAGAACAGGTAAGCCTCCACAAGGGGAAATGGTGAAAATGTACGTACTCACACAGAGACGCGGCAAAGGCATTCAGTTGTACAATTCCCATTCATTGCGGGCTCCTAGACGTTCTCAAGAATATATTCAGGTGTTCCAGGCGGCTTGAAGTAGTCGCAGGGGTCTGGATTGGCATCATCAGTCTTCTTCGTTGAACTGACCTGAATTGAAATAACGTACCTGCCACTTTGCTTGCTGTCCTCCAGCCACGATTTCCAGTTGAGACTGCGGCCAAGTGTCCAGGCTGGTGTGTACGATGTCTCCGATGCGTGACAGTATCAGGAGATCCTTATCCGGTGCCTCGAATTTGGCTCGTTGACCTTTCGAAACCCCACATTTCCTGACTGCGGCTGGACTCTGGCGCGATGATACTTATACGAGGTAATGACCACGACTCGCCGTGATGTTACATTTATATTTATTGCAAATCCTTCCCGTACAGGTGTAACTGAACGCAAAATTCATTGTTTAGCCTGAGCTCCTTGCCTGCGGAAGATATTATCAAGAGATTCGAGTGTTGCATTAATGAGTGCAGCAGCACCGAGAGATCTAGGCGTCAAATTGCAAGCTACGTTGTCGATTACACTAATGAGAAGGGAAATGAGCGATAACGCGCGGATAGCGGATGACAAGTAACGTAAAGGGCATACTTTGCGTGGCCTATACGGAGGTCAGGTTCGATGCAACCCTCTCCGACGCGCTGGGAGATATTGAAGGTTGATAAAATGGATGAAACCGTGATGAAGATGACAGCGTCTGCAAAGTGCGAACCGACGCATTTCCTAAAAGGAATGGCTCAATGCATGGATAAGTTGCAACAAAGCATAGAATAAATACCTTCTCCCAAACCCAAAGCTAATCTCCCTTGGATTCAGAGCTGGAGTTTTACCCAAGTGGCGTTCAGGTCTAAATTCTTCAGGATCAGGGTAATAATTTTCATCCCTGCTCATCCCCCTTCGAACATGCAATGTCGTCAGGAATGCCCTAAACGTTCATCAAGGCGCGGGCTGGTGAACAGACTGACCACTGATTTGCCATAATGAACGAGTCCTCTGGGATGAAATAACCTAGGTCGAGGCATCAATACCTTACGTTAGCGTCAAGAAGGGGAAATCATACCCTCAAAAACATCATCGTGAATTGGCGCGTGACCCGGGCCCATTGGGGTTGCTAACAAACGTTACAACATGTGAAGGATAACTAGCCTAGTGAAACAATACCTACCTGGGTGCCATCTATATACCTCCTTGATCAAGGCCTCGAGGTAGGGGAGCCGGCTTTGAGTGCGGGGAGCGAAGAAAATAGCATCAGCGGAGGCGTTTCCCGAGCACGTGGCTCCCACCCACTCATCAAATGTTGGTAAACGTAGGACTTCATTCCTAGCCGAGGTCCCCAGTACTGAGTCCAATTCCTCCTGTGCTTTTCGCTGTACTGCAGGAAAGAGCATCATGGAGATAAGGAATGCGTTGATCACCGTGGCCGTCGATTCGATCCCAGCAGCATAGAAAGTGCCGACGGCGTTTTTAACAGAATCCGGACTCTTCCCAGACGATAAGAGTCTATTCACAAGGCACGACGATTCGGTTCTCTAACAATAGGCATCAGAAATGCATCTAGCCGAAAAACATGCTTTTCTAACATACCTTCCTTTCCTGAGACGTTGCGTACTCAAAGGGTCGATTCATAAGCTCCGCGCGAGCGGCGCGCCAATACTACGCAGAAGTTGTACGGTATCAGCATGTATCATAGACGATGCAATGGAAAATCACTTTGGCTTCCTTCTTGAACCCAGCGAATGGGAAAAAACTGGGAATATGAGCGAGGAAAGGGAAGAAGTCAACGAGATATCGGCCAAACAAGCCGGAAGTGATTGCTTGAACCAATTTTTCGGCGTCCTTCAAATACTGGAGAACGCATGAGTAAAGAAACTAGAAACTACTCACACTTACTTACCGGATCTTCGGGGGATATGACCGTTATTCCGTATGTCGTCTTGAGGATCATTGCGCCAATGCGACTTGAAACGGATTATTTGGAAAGGACCTAGTGAAGAACACTGGAAACTCACAAACGAAGACTTTCGGTCACTTCATGCGGATTATTAAGAGCATCGGCAAGTATGTGGAGTGCTGACTCCTGGAGTTCAGTATGAAATTCAGCCATCGCACCTTTGGCGATCACTTGGCGAAGTAGCCCCCGGTGCTCCCTCCAAAGGGCTCCATAAGGGGCAAGGGCAAAGCTTTCTGAGAAACCCATCCTACGGGCCCATTGGGAAAGATGAGACGGGCCCTGGGAGTCAACGCTGGCGCTCACAATTCCCCAAACATAGCCATCGTAGGACGATTCGAATAGATCGCCGCGTCCTTCTCAAGCATGTGCTTGGCTACGTCGTAGCTGTTAAGAACAACCATCTGACGGCCAAAGAGGTTGAAACGAATAATGTTCCCTGCAGGTTCATCCAGACCATTGATTGGTACACCTGAGGGTGACGGCTGTGGATCAATATTGCATACCGTAAGTGTTCCGCATTTCGAATAATTTCTTCCAAGGAAGTGATTCTTTCGGGTGCGGGCGAAGGAGGGGGTAAGCAACAAGGCCACCGGCCACTGGGCCAGGGGGATATGGGAAGCCCTTGGAGCGACGTCTCAGACGACGAGCATGAGCAAGCCTCCAAACAGCTAAAACCAATAAGAGAAGCCACATAATTGTCGAGAACATATTATGGACTGCCGCTAGATAGCTTGGAAGTGGAGAAATTGAGGAGTGGAGTGGATCCATGAGGATGCCTCAAATTATATCGAGAGTGAGAGCGGGCTCGGAGAACACTGAGGTGCTGCTGGATTTACTGGCGACCCTATCTTTGGCCTCTGTTCAGGTTGAAGAGACAAGTTTCTTCCGCCTGTTTCACGTTTGTTAGTTCAAGGGTTGCCCGTTAACAAGCTGGTTCTTCAACTTGAACAGAGTCTTAAGCGACAACCATCGGAGATTCGGCGAAAGCAACTGACTGATAGGGCTTGCGTACCCATCATGATGTTAACCATGGCCGTTCATAGCCGTGATAAAAGGTAATGTGCAACTTCCACCAGCAAACGAGTAAAGTTAATTCAGTACAAACACTTTGTGCACTGTACTGCGTCGCAGATGGAAACACTAGCACCCGCTGAGACAATATGAGCACCGTAAAGAAGCCGTTTCAAACACAAAATGAGTATTTCTCAAGAGACCTAGACCGCTAAGACAAAACTGTCGGCACAAACATGTGTAAATACATGTTTCGGATTCAGTTCTCCTCGCGACGAATAGTTCTAGTGGAGAGGAATTCCGCTGGTGGGTAAGCATGTACACGTCATATGGGCTGTTCGCATATTCATACGTTGGTACTGTACATGTCAATTCGCCCCGCCGTTTTTGGACACTGGGTACGTTCTCATCCTTCCTCCATCCTCAGCTAGCTAGATGGGGTATGACACAATATCCCAACTGGCTGCTATTCACAAAAGATTAATAATCTGGTAATTTCACCCAAAATCCCGGTGTCTACACGCAAAATGCCAAAATGTCACCATTCAAGGATGAATCACTGATTCCAAGTCCTGACCGATCATCGATCGGCATGCACAGAATGAATAACGCGCGACGAATAACGATGTGACCTCTTGATTCTTGTGTTGTCATACTCGCAACTGGGACGCGCCAGCCGAGCCGAACCGCGGGTATTCGTTTTGTCCTCGACCGCTAAACATTATTTTATACGAGAATAGGCGTACGCATCGCTTGGGTGCACTCCCTGAACATTTTGAAGCGCGAGTCGCAGCATGAGAAGTCCATATCTCGCTCTCAACGTGGACCCAGTGTCTTGGATTCTGAGCGCTTTGAATAACGATCTGCCAGTGGCTGAAAAGGTTGTTGGAGAGACGTGATCTATGCGTACCAATTGCACTCCTAGGTCCGCTTGGACTCGATTATAATCGAAGTTGACCTCTCGCATATATATAAGTGGAAAGTCACAATGTCCAGGAGTAATAGGAAATGAGATATTTCGTTGGGTAGAAGAACAGTCCATGTTATGAAAATTGTTCCAAGTCAGTTTCTTCGTCCTTGAAACGGTGAATTACAAGTATTAAGCCTAGGCAGGACTGGCCCCCCGGCGGAGTGTCGCTCATGGAACCATCCTCCCGGAGCAACTGTCCTGGAATAAGTAGGCTTGGAAACCTCGGGATCCATGTTTGACCGCTTGGCTTCGAGACCCCTTGGTGCTTAGATTACTCTCAATGGCGATCGCCTTCGCAGTCCTCTTCATTGTCGTTGAGCCAAGGAACCCATCCAACCCCTCTGGCTTCTACCGGGATTTCCAACATCTTTGTTGTACAATGCAATTTCGCCGTGATTTTTTCTTCTCGTTATGGTTCCAGAGTGTCCAGTTAGCCTCACTCGGAAGCTGGCAGGCTGGTAATCAAAGCCTGGCAGCCGTCGCCACTGGTCACTTCGGTGGGAGTGCATGAGTCGCTTCGCACCAGAGATAGGATTGAGAGTGATCGGAAGGCATGAAGCATAGGGTGAACGATTCGAAGGAACAGGAGGGTTGTCAAAGGAGAATCGAGAGCCCCAGACGTCCGTCGCATCGATGTAAAGCGAAACGTGCTCAAGACGAGGGCATGCCTCTGCGATCGATCGTATGATTTCCAGCGTTAGGCCCGGATTTATATGGGGATAAAGCCTAAAACTTCAAGGCTGGGCAACCGTGACAAAGACGGCATTGTCAATCGTCTGAACGCCGTCAGCGCAGACCACGTCGGAAGTGATGTACTTGAGCCTTGTAACACGTCCTCCGGCCTTAGCATCGGATAGTCCGCACCCTCCGTTATCCGGTAAAGCTCTTGGACTTCTTCCAGCCGCCTCTTGATAATTGCTTTGTGTTCATCCGGGGGTGGTAGAACACACCCCTCTGCTACTTGGTCGCTTCGTGGAACCTGTGAAACGCTGAGAAAATAGTAACGAGACTGGGCAGGCAAATATTGATTGACTCACTTTTTCCGTTAAGCCTGTATGAGCCCCTGGCAATTATCACAGAGCGGCTCTCTCCACGATCCATCCTGAAAAGCTCTACGTTAATGTTTAGTACAGCATGATAAGGAGAACGAGCCTGCATCAGAGGGTTTTGCAGAAAATTGCGTAGATGGACAAACATGGAACTCGTGAGACGTTTCCTGGGATGAGGGGCCCTTAAATTTCTCGAGTCTTCAATGGCGATCATGAATAGGGAATGTTGGAAATCAACCTCGAGCATGTATTTACAGGTGTTTGTGTCGACAATTATCTCTTACATAAGCGACTCGCGAGCCGTGCTTGCAGCGCGAAATGGTGACATGTTATTCGAGGATGCTGACCGGGGACTTTTGTGTGTGTGTGTGTTTTTTTCCAACAGATGCGCAGAATGGTATTGCAAATCGGCAACTCTGATGCGCCACGCGGGGGCCAGACAACTTGTTCATCCTCCTCAGTCTTGCTGCTTTCTGCTAAACATGCTGCAGGGCGCTTGCAATGACTTAAAAGGACGGCGTCATCTGGCCCCACAGGCCCAGGGATAGTCGCACTGATGTTTAATCCAGCGCAATCTGTAGAGCACGAGTATTTCCATCTACATAGTAGTTCGGTTTCTTTACCTTATTCGTGTCCCACACCACACAGGCCTGGACGCCACAGCACCTCAGCGGATTTCGCGTCTCACCAAGAGCCGTTTTGGAGCGCCTCGCTGTTTGGACTTTCCGTCTCTTGCGCAATCGTGACCTGCGGACTTTATGTCCCCGATGTTTTAAGAACATTCAAATTCCATATCATAGCTCACTCTATACGGAGGCCATTGGCTCTTCCTCGCATCTACGCAGGGAACGTTAGAGCTCCGGGATATCCACCATGATCAGCATCGTCAGCCACTTGATCTCCATTCTACTGGCGGAGGAGCTGGTTCATTCTCTTCAAACTGATGTCGATTACCCTATTCGTGTTGTCTCGCACAGGTCGCTCGCGTTCCCCATCCATATGGTGTTACTTACATTTGACACCAACAATCATAGGCCTAGAATGCGCATTAGGTGGTCATTCGACGCTCACTCATCTGAGGGCATATGACGCTGCTTCTGAGCCACTTGCTGCACGTAATGACCCCATCTTATTTGCTACTTCGGTTCAACCGGAAGTGTTAACGCTTGCGAGAATGGTGCAACACACACTCTCACTTCCAAAGTCGATGATGTTGCCACAAGCATTGCAAGTTTGCCTGATGGCGTGAACTGAGAGCCACGACTTTCATCTTATACGTATGTACTTGCTACGGTTCGAAGTCGGTGCACGGTAGTTGCCGGGAGATGGCCTCACTTGGGTGGGAGCGTCATTTCAACGCATCTCTCCCTGTCTGCTCTTTTAAAATTAGTCCGAGCGGCATCCAGGCTTAGAAACGACCTACATCCATGTCTGAACGACTTCGCATCGGGGACCCATTGGTTCGAACTACGCGTGGGTAAAAAAACCGTCGTTTTGAACGAGCTGGTACCAAATGGCGATCCGTTTTGTCATGTTAGTCTTTTCACGCTCTCCGACATCAATCTTTCTGCACTAGACGTCCTCAAGGATATTTTCAGGCATTCCAAGTGGGTCTCAGGGGTCTGAGTTGGCATCATCGGTCTTCTCGTGTCGAACTTGACTAAATTAGATTGGAATCACCTGTCTAATCAGTTGGACCCAACAGCATCAGCAAACCGTCAAGGTTGCATGATTGAGACCTTTGGTATCATGACTGAGTCCAAGCTCCGCACTGGAGATAGAATTGAGAGTGACTCATAGGTGCCCAAAATTGCTATGTGAGGGAAATAGGAATCCATGCACAGTGCCGATCTTATTCTGGTTGTCTGTTTTGGCAAGGCACAGGGTTTGAAGCACTTGAAGCGAGACACTTTTGGGCCATCGCTCCTGAATGAACATAACCGTGTAGGATTGTCATTGGATTGCGATACATGACTACATGATTAATGACAATAACGAGTCGTGAAACGATGATAAAAGTTCATTGTTGTTCGGTCACAATATGGCAATCCATATATGTGGGTCTAGTCTCCAGGGGCACGCACTATGTACCTCCTTCAAGTGTTGATTGTACAGATGTTTGGATGTTTACGATTCTTCGTCAGGGTTGTCCGATAACTGTCCTGAGCTATTTTTGGGTTCACGATCGAGAGAAATCTCAGGAATCTGCCCCAAGATGATCAGCAAAATCGAAGGAGTGCAGGGAACCAAAGGCTGTTCGTGTATTTTAGAAAGGAAAAAAAAAAGCAACTCACTCCAAGCCTAACCAAGAACGAGATAAACGCGCAGATAGCCGCATACCGGAAAACCGCTCGTAAACTCGTCGCATACGCTTCTCGTGCAGATCGTTGCAGTTCAGGCGGTAAAGAAGCGACGAGACTAACAGAATGTCGAATCCTCTGCACGATCTATATTGAAAAACAGCATGGTGGTCAATAAAGAGTTCCATCTTGCGTCTGGCTGGCGTTGCTTTGTTACTGACCTCTTCCGCATCAGGTCCATGGATTCGAGCGCGAAGTTCAGCAAGGAGTTTAGTTTGGAGTATGGCAGAAGAGGCTGCAACGGCAATTGCTTGTCCTTTTCCAACCAGGTGGGTGCAAGGTAAAAAAAAAAAAGGCCGGTTTCTACTCACCGGCACCACGAAATAACTGACTAAACCCTGTTGCAACGGCAATATGTTGAACTGCAAAGGGAGAACGAGATCCGGAATCATATGAGCTGCTTTGCTTTTTTTTTCCTGACAACTTAGCACCGGGGAATGGCGCACCAACCTTCGACGGCTGCTAGAAGCGCAACTGAAAGAGTGATATTGTGAGACTAATCAATGCGTGTGTTTTTCGCGCGCGAGCGCGGCATCCTCACGAAACGACAGAAACTTTACCTGTACTATTAATGAGGAGCCCGATCAGCGGAGAAATCGATCAGCGAGGATCAGGAAATATGAAGACATACGTTGTCTGCAGTACAACTGCGTTCCCAAATCCTAGCGGGATCTAAAATCCAAGAAGTAAGGCGGGTAGTTGCGTAAATCATTGCACTTTTCGAAACCAACACACTATATTAAACCATTGGGCCCAAGAGGAGGAGTTCATTTGAAGGTTTGCGATGAGGAATGCAGTAATGGTGGGACATATCCTGTCAGGTTGACAAGACGGGGGAGGAGGGGAAGGTTAGCAAGGCCCTAAAGGACGAATCTGAGAAAAGGAAAAAAGAAAAAAAAACCAACCCGAAAATAACATTGAGAACTTTATACTTCCCGGTTTTCTTGATCATCCAGCTAATTGGCCGGCCAAAAGATTAGGTCTTATTTCGGTACCAATTATAGAGAAGATGTACCCAGCGAACAGCGAACCGAGGGCCATAGCGGCAGCAGTGGGGAACAAATGACCACCTAAGACGCCCCGAATGTGATTTCTTTCGCGTTAGCGGACAACCTTTCGTTTACCAACTTACCAGCTTCCGAAGTTGAGGTCAACTGAACGCTCTGGAACCATAACGGGAAGAAGTAAATAATGGTGAAATTGCATTGCGCAACGAGGACGTTGGAAATCCCGACGAGCAAGGGGATACGTTGCCTCAGAAGCCAAAGGGGAAGGATGGGTTCTTTGGCGACGCAGAGCTCGACGACGACAAATAGGACTGAAAAGGCGATCGCCACTGAGAGTGATGTGAGTACCAAGGGGTCACGAAGCTACCAGGTTTTCAAGATATAAATTCCAAAAAGATTTCTCCCAGCCCAAGGTTACACGCACTGGTGTATCGCCATTGAAATGAAGCGACAGAAAGCCAAGAAACGATCCCACCTGATTGCATTGTTAGCAAAACGTTTTTACGTCTACGGATGAGAAGGTTTTCATACTCCAACGAGAAGACACAAGCATCCTGCATAATCGACGCGCCGAAGAGCATCCCATGCATTCCGTCCCTCCCCTGGGGCTACGTAGTTGAGGGAAGACGATGTCAAGAAAGAAGACAGCGCAAAAAAGGGGAGTTGAAGTAAGAATGCCCATCTCCATCCCAACCTGCGGAAGAATAAAAATGACACTTGAAAAGCGAGTACCGTGTGAGTTTACTTACGCATCGCTGATCCAGCCTCCCAGGGGACCGCCCATTCCCATACCAAGCCCATCTACCGCGATGAAATGTTAGATAATAGAGATTTGTCGGAGGGAAGGGATGTGGGACTAACTGAAAATTGCTGCTACTCCACTTGCGAGGCCGCGCTCCCGCACGCTATACATATCCGCGACTATAACACTGAATCCGATATGGTAGGTGAGCAACGCGGCATGGTATCACCATAGTTCGGCTACACACTAGCTACTAGTAAACAATCCCCCTCCGCCCAATCCGGAAAACTATTTGCAATCAAGTTTAATTAGAAAAAATTGATTTCCCCATGCTCCTTACAAAACGAGCTGCAATCAAGAATTCCATATTTCTGGAAAGACCACAAGCCAAAATTCCAACAGCGGTAAAAACAAGAGCGGTCTGATTAGCCCCCCTTCGGCCCAGTGCGTTGGAGAGTCTCCCGTAAAGTGGAGTGAAGGAGCAAACAGCGAGTAGGTATCCAGTACCGAGCCATCCTGCTTGGTGAGATGATTTGAATTCGCTAGAGATGGAACCGAGTAATGTTGCAACGAGCGTCACTTTGGGGAAAGATGGGTGAGAGAGACATCATCCTCGATCCCGAAGAGGGCCCGAGAGAGAGCTTACTGTTTACAGACTAGGGGGATAGCACGATCGTGAATTAATTCAACAGTGGGCGCTTGTACTCACGATTAGAAAAGTGGCCAACCATACTCCAGAAAGTATGGTCCATCGTGCCCTTTTGCTCAGTTCCAAGGGTCCAACCTGATGCTTGAGGGGTTTATCGAGTGAGCCGTTTTCTAATGGTGTGATGGAGACACTGTTGTATTCTTGCAATACGTCGGCCCGTCCGTCTAAAAGAGGTGTGCCTTCGGTTCTTGCACGCTGGAAGTCAGCCATCCAAGAGCTACTGAACTAGTCGAATGGGTGGTACAGTAGGATGTTGTGTCTATGAGCGACAAAAACGTCGTCCTGCTGAGGCAGATCGGGGCCGTGTCACTTCTGCAATTAATAGCCGCCTATGTAATCACTGTGTAACCTAAAATCCGAATTTTTGCATCCTTACGTAACGTGTATATGTCAAGTTCGGCTGAGATCGGCATCCGTCCGTACTCCAAAGTTCTGGTCGCCGTGGTGATTACAAACTCGTCATGACTGGAAGAACAATCCGCGGTTCAACGTGCAGCGTCCTGACAGTAGTAGTGACGAGGGGAAGCGGCCGTGGTTGGAACTTCATGGACGCGGCGAGCTTTGCCTGTAATGTCTTGAAGGCTAGCGCTCGCACGCTCTATTGATCGTGATAACGGCCAGAATGCCGGAGGACCCGGTTATTTAATTCCAAATCGAGCTCGGGTGCTCAACGATTGGTCGGGGGTGCAAGCCAAGACAGGACTATGAGCATCAGGACGGGAAGGCCGTTTGCGTCGAGTGTCATACTTGAACAACTCCAAGTTCTGCTGCCACATATATCATTCGGGGGGGACACATGCTCATACTCATATGTGTTCAGGTTGCAGGGACCCAATCAGTACAGGGTGGCCAACATGCAACATATTGAGTGGACTTTTCGCCACTTGATCACATTGTGTTATGTACACTAAGGGAAAAACTTCGGGAATTCAACGCAAGCCACACCTTGCGCTTTAACAGCGCTTGCGTGATGCTCGATCAATGAACCTAATAGCAAGTCGGCTCTTCACCGTTGTGTACCAGCTACTAAGTACAGATGCACGGGACCGCTTTCGCTCCGCAGCCTTCATCATATTACACTACCTCTCTGTACTCTGCGGCAAACTAGTTGCCATTGATCTCTCGCTCATCGACGGGGACGGCCTTACTTCCCTCACCTTTTTGTGTTAACGGTCCTTCATACTGGGCAGCTGCGGCATGTCTACTGTACTCTGATCTGGTGGCTACTCCCAAGCTTCAATCTCAACGCGATGACAAAGTCGTACCTGTCCCTTTTGCTGTGGCACAGCAGGTAGTCTAAGCCCTTGTTTCTACGCCGGCCCCGACATCGGTATACCTCATCGCTATAACTGTCTCAGCCTTCTGTGCGAAGCGAATTACCTCTCATGTCAACCCATCTTTTGTGAGGGCGGTTTACGTACACGCAACATGGTGGGTCCTCACAAGGTGATGTTCAGGAGTTTAAGGAAAAAAATGTTACATAGTTCTCGGCAAGCAGCTCCGCAGGGGAGATCAAACGATGGCGACTAGTATACTATTCCTTTTTTCAAAAAAAAAAGACCACAAGACCACGGAACCGATATTCAAAGGGCTGCCCCCCCGCACAAGCTCCGGGAATATGCCCAACAATTACTTGCCAGAGCGTTCATCACGTCAATGTCGGACCCGTGTCCGTCAGGCACGCACTAATCACTCTTGGCATTGTGTATGTGCGGTGATGAAGCGGTATTAGTAACAATCGCGATCAAATCCGATGTCAAAACCTTCGGCCCACCACGACTACCACACAAGGACAACCAGGCTGAACAACTTAACGCCGCCACCGGGCCACTTGGTGGTTGACGACCCTGCAACCAACTTCTCTCTCGTTGCTTGGTTGTTGTTCTTGCGAGAGTATAAATGCGAGGCCAATGGGGGGTTGGTGGCATAAACACACCAAGGATAACGCGTAAACCCCTCCTTCGTCCTTTTCGCGCGCAACCCTTTCTCTACAATATTAAGCAAATGGACTCCTTCACCACTTTCGCTACTGCTCTGACCAACGCTTCTTCTTGGACGTCTTTCATCATCTCATCATCCGAGCCTGTATGCTCTGCTTCCTCGCAAGTAGAGCTTGAGGACATCAAGGATGAGGATAGGAGCGGTGGAGGATCTGGCGGTTGTGTTATTGCATGATTAAGGTCCTCACACAATGTATCACACCTGGTTCGTTGCTCGTACCTCTTTTTGACCCGCATGCTTCTTACGCCATCCACTATTAGCTTCTCTGCGGCCTCGTGCTAGTTCCAGCTGAAGAACTTCGATGTAGCTGCACAACATCACCTATCTCGCTAGCCTCCCTCATCTCTAATCCCTTTCTTCCAACTCACTATTCCCCCCCCCAACGCTCTCTGCGCCACCAACAACATTACTCTATATGCCTCCTCTCTTTACCTGTATTGTATCACCCTTCGTTCCCAAACGCGAAACAACTGGCCCGATATTATCCATCAGCTGCCATTTTTTTATCATTATATTCATTAAGAGCGTGTTCAATCCCGCTTGTTTTTTCTTTCTTTCTTTCTTTCTTTTCTTTCGCAGACGTATCGGATAGTGCTGGTGATCCGTGGATTATGGGGACTTGTATCGAATCACAGTACTGTATTGTGCACTACGATATATTTTTTGTTGGAATATCAACGCTCATCAACAACAACCGAGCTGCAGCGTGGATTGGGGAGTTTTTATTTTAACTTAATATCGTCGTGGCTAACAACGACTATACCTTTTTGTTTCAGAGTCGCGGTACCACGCGCTCCCAATTTACTTTGTCTTATATCGCCAGTTGTCACTGGCAATCGCTTTAAGCGATATTGGCTCCAGTCGTATAAGTAACAAGTTACGCTGGACGCCGTAATTTTTCTCCCTCCCTCAGTTCTCCATTTCTTTCCTATCTGTGTTTGCGCATAACTCATTGTATTTTCATGTTATAGTTACGCGCGATAGGTAAAAATCTTAATACTAGTTCTCCATTTCGAGACTGAGTTACGCGCGATAGCTCCTATTTCATTATTTTTTTTTGTATTTCATTCATGTTCTCTCCATGAGCGTTAGGTGACAACGGATGCGGATGGTAAATAAGTGCCCCATGCGAAGAAGTTGTAGCATTAATTGCGTTCTGGCTCAAGATTCAAAAGTATCTTATTACGTTGAATAGGTCACGTGTTGAAATTATCCTGTCCTGAGTTATTTCCCGCTTCGATACTGCACTAGAAAGGCTGCTTCGCAGCCATGACCTTGCTTTCCGATCACATGAACACTGCTAGGCTCACAAGCTCAAGATGATATGGTTTGGCATTTGGTTCCTGATTCAAGGGGTGTTGATTCAGCCATTGCTGAACCCTGGGTTGGAGGGGAGGGTGGCAGGCTGCACAACTGCTGTATTTTCGGACACCATTACATATGCTACATCTATGAATCTAACTAAGAGAATTGACGCTTGTAATTTCTTCCATGGTAATTTGTCTGGTACAATACATTAAGTGGAAGATTATGTGCCAATTCCTAAAATCAAGTACAGGATTCAAAAAATCGACTCCCCTTTACTTTTGAGTTGGCCAAATTCAATTGTTCAAGCAAGCTATTAGAGCGGAAATGACCGAATTTATTGTGTGTGAAATAATATTGGGGCATGTGATCAAAATGTCAGAATTCCCACAAAATCAGCGTCAGAATTCTCACGAATTGTGACCATGCAAGTGACCTTGGAAGCAAGGTAACATGGACTGTCTCGCATTCATCCCTGGTCAGCGCATTTAGATCCATGGACTGACAGCGCACGCACATCAACGTATAACATACGTACGACGCCATTCTAGCAAAATGACACAACAAACACAAAAAAAAGGATTGAATGCTCAACACTCTTTGATCCAAGAAGAAAAAAAAGGTTTTCACAAGCGCGTGACTACCATTGCACGCCTAAGGACGCATCGGTCTTAGCCATGCCTCTGCAGCTTCGAACTGTTCTGCTAGATCTCCGTGTACCCACCCAGGTTCCGAAGCCAGGCTACGAATAGCGATGAGGGCCTGGACCAGATCGGCCAGAAAAAAAGCATTAGTCAGACGGATCAATGGCAAACAAAAAAAGAAGCAGAGGGCCATATCACTGAAAAATAACTCACAGCGTCCCAGAATCGGAAACCTCTCTCAACTTCAGCCCGCGGATTCTTGATTCCTTCGAACGTCTCATCGCAAATTTCCAGGGCAGCTTCCTTTGCATCCGCCACTCCTTCAGGATCCGAACCGTCGATCTTCCCACCATAAATCGCTACGAGCGCATCGAGGTAGACTTTGGCTAAGATACCGAATCCGGTGTTGACATCGGCTTGGAAGGGTAAAGACAAAGAAATGTCGAGAAGATCATCGCGTGATCGTCTGGCATGTCGTTGGAGGAGCATGTTCATCGCTGTAAGCTCGACAAGGGAACGCAAAGCTCGTGATAGTGAACGGAGGAAGGAATTGAAGACCAGAAGCTCCCGCGATAATGGCCCACTCCAGGGTTGTGGCTAGACCGACCGCGTCAGTGTGTGTATGAAGGGTGACGCATGAGCACACGAACCTTGAATGCCAGCGGAACAATGCTAAGCACACGCATGATGAGTAGCATGCAGCGTTTCTCTTCATCTGCAGGGAGAGCCTGAGAAAACCTTTCAACGTCCCAAGTAATGAGTGCCACTCACCCGTCCCGAAGCTTGGGCCTCCAGAATATGCTCGCCCAGACCACAAGTTGTTGTGCAGTACGCCGGCACGAACCAGTTCAAGGAAGAGGTATAGAGAATCTTGGAATTTGTCATTGACTTTGCATTGTTGTAAGGCTGCATGCATCGCGCGAGCTAAGGACGAGTGCGTATGTGAGTGAATCAAAAATCTGGGAAACGAGTCCGAATCAGTGACAACTGGGTTATGCTCGTCACTTCGGTTTTACATTACCCTCGCAACTCCAGGAAACGCCAAATAACATTAGCGACGACCTCATCCTTTTTTTCTAACACTATATTTGCATGTGGCTTCGTCCGGGTGCGGTGAGCCAGTTTCTCAGTGGCCGTCGCCCCAAGGCAAAGAGCAAAGTCTATCGTTGAAGACTGAGCGGAGTCCCCCTCCTCAGCTTGAGCACATCCACATGACGATTGTCGTAAAGAACTTACGTTTTGTCGTCGCAGCTCTTCCTC